GCGCATGGCGGACGTAAAAAAAAAAAATACTACTAGTACTACTAGTACTACTAGTATTAGTAGTACTAGTAGTATTAGTAGTACTACTAGTACTAGTACTACTAGTACTACGAGTACTACTAGTATTACCAGTACTGCTAGTACTACTAATACTACTAGTACTACTATTACTACTAGTACGACTAGTACTATACTAGTATCATTAGTATTACGACGACGACGACGACTACTACTACAAGTAGTCCCAGCGTTATAGTACTACCACTACTACTACTACTACTACTACTACTACTACTACTACTACTATTACTACTACTACGACGACTACTACGACTACTACGACTACTACGACTACTACTACGACTAGTACTACGACGACGACGACTACTACTACCAGTACTACCGCCACTGGTACCACTAGTACTGCTACTACGCGACTATCACTTTGCCATTACTACAGCAACAGCCCACAGGTTTGTTTCATGTGCATTTCATTCACAAAAGAGGCCCCGCAAGTTCGAATTTTGCAGTAGCTCGGCGTCCTCGAGCACAACTTCAAACATTGCACCCCCATAGCTGGAAGACGAGACGCTACAATTGAAGTTCTTAACGGCTTGCTGAGAGACCGGACCTTGCGTAAGCCGAAGCAAGACAAACCTACAGCAGGTTCGAGTTTAGTTGCCTGCAGGAAAACAAGACGTCGTACAGTTGGAGTTTCCCGATAACTGGCCGCGAGACCGTGTCCTGCGTAAACGGAACTCCCCAATATTTGGCTGCATTTCAGACCCTACAACTCGCAAGTCCCGAATTTGCCGGAAAACAAGACTTTACAATGAAAGTTTCCCAATAGCTTGCCGCCAGACCGGGCCGTGCATGATGGAATTCGCCAATACCTTTCTGCAAAGCAGACCCTGCAACCGGACCTTGTGCAAGGGAATGCTGAAAAACGCTACAATTGGCAACTGCGCAAGAGTTGGTCCGAAAGCAACACTGTACAATTGGACTTTCCCAATGGCTTGCAGCGACACCGGTCATGCATAGAAATTGGGGTTCCCCGATCATTTGCAGGAAAACAGGACTTTGGAATCTGAGTAGCCTGCCTTGCAACGGTCCGTGCATTAAGGAGTTCCTGAACGCTAGACAGGAGAGGCCCCTCAGGTTCCAGGACCGACAAAACTCAAAAACAACAACAATTTTAAGCAAATGTCAAAACAAGATTTTCCTTTTGTAATTCACTAACTCACTCCTATGTGGATGCTAAATCTCAGTTGTCAGGCTGGGAATTTCGCGCTCGCCCCGATAGCCGGGCTGGTCAGCAGATTTGGGCTGCACTTGCCATGGTATCTTATCTGTGTTTGAGAACATAAACTCCTGAATGAAAGTTCGGGCATGTACGAACGCCCATGAAGCCAGGTATGTATCCGCAGCCGTCTCCTTCGTTGTGCTCCTGTTTGTGGCTCTGCTTTTCAAGGATGCAGAAGAGATTTTTGGTACACAGGACCAAGATGCAGATGAGGAATCGGGCGACGCCGGCAAGTCCGTGATGGTTCAGAAATCAAAATCCAACACTTCAACCAGCGGAGGCGTAAGCAAACCCACCTACAAGGACCCGATCCTTTGGCTTGTCATGGTGGCGCATGCGTTCCTCTTCCTGACTGCCTCAGCTTTGCTTCTGGTTCTTCCCTTCTTGCTGGAGTACCCCGCATTTGGCCAAATCGATCCTTCCTCGGTTGAGCAGTCCCGGGAGAATGTGGCCGCGGCAACGTCCCTCGTCATGGTCCCACACGGTGTGCTCAATCTCGCATTCTCAACTGTTGGCTTCCTTTTTATCTCATCAAAGATTGGAGACCGGGCGTGTCTGCGAATCGGCTCGATTGGAGGAGCAGTCATGTTCTGTTTGTACGGTTTCGGTGCCACCGAATTCTGGCATCTGTTAGTGTACCATGGGCTGTCTGGCCTGTTCGTCGGGCTCATGGTTCCTGCGATCACCCCGACCCTGACGTCCTACAACTTGGTTGTGCACCCCACCAAGAAGTCGCAAGCCTCCGCCTTTCCCATGTTGGGAATGCAGATTGGCCAGATCTGCGGGCCATTGCTATTCGGCTTTCTCCTTGGTGGAGGGCAGGATCGCACTGTCATGAATATCATCTGGTTGGCAGTCGGTGACTTGCATCGATAGCAGGCTAGGTCGGGTACGGTCGACGATTTTCGCTTTGTGGCGACGGGTTGTACTCTTTTGGTGCTTGCTGAAACTGATGTGATTCTCTGGCTAGTTGACACGTGCTAGATACAGTTTAAGACCTTAGTATCAAAGTCTACTTTTGATTAGTCGAACATCAAAGTTGTGATCTTTCTTGTTTGGAAGCTACACATTCCATGCACTTCAGGTTGGCGGCTTTCTGTCATTTTGCAGTTGCAAGCTTGTGGCAATGCTTGCCTGTGTGCAGAGTATCGTGGAGGGTGGAACGTGTACCCCGCTTGTCCCGACAGGTCGTGGGGGCTGTAAACAGAGAACGCGCCGCAAGAAGCTGTTGTTGCCAGCAAGCAGCAAGCCCTAAGGATTGATGTGGCTTGTGGGCTATATTCTGCTGGATATTAGCTTCGAGGTAATCAGGAGGCATCCAGCAATGCGGGCAGCTCGAAAGAGCCAGGACATGTCTGCAGAGCAGATTCAGAACATGCTTACAGAAAATGCCAAGGACTACGATGTTTTTGTGCCTCACAAGTTTCTGTCAGTTGTGTTTGAATTTTTCTTCGTGCTGCGTAGTACTCAGGGATCAATAAAGGTGGGGATTTGTGTTGGAAGGGCACCAACTGCAACCACCGCAACCGAGGTACAAGACATGTGCGACTTGGTACGTGGAATGCTGACGCCGGGCCACGAAGAGTTCCGAGGAATGGAACTTTGGTCGGGCGTGGCACAGCGATTTGTTGAACGCGTCTTCCGGAGCAGCGTCCCCAGGTGGGTCGTCTGAGCAGTGCTTCGTTAAGTTCTGTGCAGAGCACCATAGCCGATAGCCGCCAAGGATCCCCTGCTCTCCGGAAGCCATGAACCTTCAAAGCCACCCAGAGAGCCCTATACCCCTTAATTAAGGAATATACCTTAAATCCTAATTTGAAGGCCTCTAGAATTTCAGGTATATATTCCTGAATTAAGGGGTATTGGGCTCTCTGGGCAAGTCGGATCCCAGAGCCCGCAGCGGCCTCTGCAGGTTTCGCACGGATCCCCAAGGACATCTTGAGGATGTGGCGGCATGGGTTGCAAGAGTTGGCACAGAACAAGACATTTGGGTGATATTTGCAATGTGTGATCCGTTTTCGAGTAATACAGCATGTAAGTTGGCTATACGACACCACCGTAGAACCTTATGTTGACGGTGATGTTGTGTGAAGATGCAACAGGCCTTCGGGGGGAAAACTTTCGCGAGAGTCCAGCACAACCCAGGACCAGGACTGGTTTCATGGGCATTTCCCTCATATTCCTCGCCGAGAGAGATGGGCCGATAATCTTCCTGCAGGGTCTGCCGCCGAGTATGAGGTCGCCTTCAAGGGCGCAAAGAAAAGAGCAGCCACAAGAGCAACAATGAGGGCTTCAATTCAGCAGGAGTGATCGCCATCCTCATAATGCCTCTTGCTTGCGACAAAGGCTTGCAATTTGTTGCTGTTATAGATATACATATACATGTGTATATATGTATATCTGTATATGTATATATATATATATGTATGTATGTACATATATATATATATATATATATGTATATTTATACACATAGACATATGCATATATATATATATATATATACATATAATAATATATATATATATATATATATAAATGCATACATATACAAATATTGGCCCGCACAAGACCCTATGTCAGAAGAACTATGGGCCTCCTTCACCTGGGATGAGCTCATCCAGAGATCAAGCAGAGGGTTGAACCACTTCCAGGATGCGGGGTCTTTTGTGCGCAAGATTGCCCGGTTTGACAAACTTAGCGCCTTTCCTGAATCTTGAACTGTAACGGTCGCAACTCGTGTTGGCAACAATTTACCAAGGAGGCTGATTATCGTTGATTGCTGATGGGCTGTCACTTGCAACGGCAGCCGAAAAGTCGTCTGAACCAAACTACTGTCTTCCGTTCGCATAGACATGCGACCTCACAGTAGTCGAGTTGTCACCAGCTCTGCAAATGCAAAGCCGGTTGAACCCTTCAAGCAGTTCCTTCGTAATCTCTGCGATTTCGGCGCCAGACCGTCGATGTTTGAAAGAGCCGCACAGCTTGCTTTTCCCAAGTGCGTAGGGCCATAGGATTCCTTTCGCTGAAGTGTAGAAGGTTTACGTGCGCTCGGTATTCAGATCATAGGAAGGAATTTTAAGGACATCAGTGATCATTGGTGAGTGCGAGCTGATCGACTACTTAGTTGCTCTTACACTTCTCGTCCCGTTGGTATCCGCCGAGGGTCTTCCATGTACCTTTCTATCTTGCCACTTGCGGCGAGCATGGCGACCAGGACGACAAGGACGATAACGATGACCACCAGGAGGCCACTAAGAGACAACCAGGGACCAGCAAAAGACTCGCCAGAGACCGCCGCGACTCCACGAGACCCCAAAGACGCCACCAAGAGACCACACAAAGATCAAGAGACTCGCAGGACAGGAGCAGGAGACCACTAAGAGACCAGCAGCAGACCAGCAGCGGTGTAGGTCTTGACGAAAGTTTCGTCGCACGATAGTTCATCATGTTTTGTTCTATCGTACTCAAATTTCATGTCAATGCCTGTAGGCATTTCACCGTGTGAGTGTTCTTGTTGCTCTAACTTGTGACCGACAGTACGTGCGCAGCAGGTGCCTCGTGCAGACTGGTCAACGGACCCGCTCATGTGAACAAGGGTTAACACTCAATGTAAGCTGTATCGATATACTACTATGCCTCATAATTTCGAGCGAATGTGAGCAGCGGCTCATACCGGTCGATGATATCGTTCGTGCCTTGATGTTGAGCCGCCCAGGCAATTCATGTCCAAATGCCGGCCTTCAAGTGTCTATGTCCATGACCGTGAGCCACGACAGTGGCTGTGAAAGCGAGACGAGCCAAACGTGTTGGTTTCTTGATTTTTCCTCCGGGAGCTGAGAGTGCTTGTTCTGTTTCCCGAGTCTCTGTGTGTATGTGTGTGTTTCGGTTCCATGTCGTGGTATTTCAACCACATCTCGCAGCCGCGCTCAAGGGCTCCTTTTTAGTCCGCAGCCGGCTTTTTGGTAGTTCAACTGTTGGCTTTACAGCGCAGGAAACAGGGTCCGACGACTTCGTGCCACACCGGAATTTTGCATTCATGGCTTGCGAGGACTCTGCTGTTTGCGAGGACTTTGCATCCTCATCATGATGGAGGAGAGCCGTCGCTTGGCAGCGCACAGGTTTTCGGTTCCCCAGTTCGCAGGCTGATGCCTTGGACAATCTCATCACTGACTCCCTTGCGGGTGTACAGACTGCGTTGAGCGACCGCAAGGCAAGGAAGTGTGTTTTTGCATTGCCGTCCCCACACCCGCTCACTCCTGCGAGGAAGCCCTTGCAGACACCGCACGGAGTGCTGACGAGGCTGGCTGACCGCTGCCTTCGCTTCATTGATACAGTGCCATGCAACTCGAGGTCATTCGACAGCTTATGAAAGGGCTGCGAGTTCCCGAGGAGGCTTCCAGTTATGTGCCTAAAGAGATGTGAGCTCATGTCCAAGATGTGTCTCCCTTCTCTAGTACCGATCACAGGATTTTTTCCACGATCTCGTCAAAAGCTTTCAGGAATCGTCAGCGGCTCACCCTCGGTACTGCGCGGGATCTGTAGAGTCACAGCCCTCGAGAGGTCCAAGGTGTCAAGCCATCTATTGGCAGAGCCGCTGCAGCGAATAGCCGACAAGCCGTGAGCTTAAATAACAAGTCTCGCCCAAAGCAGCGAGTTCAGCGTGCAACAGCAGCTGACAATCTCCGAATTGCACCGAGGTTGGAACCCTACCTCAAAGAGCAGAACGGTGCGCTTTCGCAGACACGAGAGAAACGAGTGGGGTGTGCGCCGTTTGCCTTGCAGCCAGGTTTGTCAGAAGCTGCCAGGAGTCGATATGAGGCACGTGTTGAGCCATACGTGGTGAGCAGCGCGATTCTTGCTTGCCTGCCCAATTTTCCTGCAGGCTCAGTTGAAGTGTTACAGACAAATCGTCAGCATGTACAAGTGCTGCTGGCAAAGGTTCTTGATATCGTGTGGAGCTGTTGCTCAAGAAGGGCAATAGAGAGAGATCAGTGAAGCCAGGCAGAACCCAGATCCCCTTCCAGATTCTGCGAGGGATCAGGCCAAGGATCTTGCAGTTAAAGGTTTCTCGTCGACAGACACTTGTGGTTTGCGTAGGTACGGCGCATGCTGAACGAGCTGCAGATGCTCGGACAGCCGCCTGAGGAAGTCACGTCCCAGGTCGCTTGTGGCTGTCTGTGTTTGTCATGTCCATGCATTGATGATGTTGGACGATGTACCTGCAAGATCGTGCGGCAAGATTCCACAGAAGGAGCCGAGGCCTTCAAGGCTCGTTTCCGGGAGCGATTTTGAAAATTGTTAAAAATCATGCTGTGAAGGGTGCGTCATGGTGCGTCCCTCATCCTATTACTATTCTGAGTCACATCTGCCAATGTGAGCATTATCACGTTCCATTTCAGATGTGTCGCGGTGCGTGTCACTCTTGACGCAAGACTTTGATTTCTGAGTTGCCTTTTGTTGCCCATTCAGGGGTATGGGTCGTTCAACTTGAGTGCATAGACAAACAAAGTAACTACCAGACGTGGATCTCGCATTGGGCAGTTGGTAGTTTCATGAATGAAAGTCAGACATGTTTCATGTCACTTTGTTGTTGATGTGTTTCGCGCTTCCAATCAGAGCATAAGTTTCCATATTTTGGATTCGACACCGTGAAGCCTATTCCGTTTCTAGCCGGTAACTTCTGGCGTCAAGTGTCGATCTTCAAAGCATGAGAGGTCTGTCACTTTAAGCTGTTTCGCACTTTGTGTCCTGAACACCGGATGGAATTCACCAGGTTGCTCGGCCCACACTGCCCCTGCGTCGGAATGCCAGCCGTGGTACCCTGGTGAAGTACAAGGCTTTTCATCTTCGCCCGACCCAGCCGTTTGCTTCAGCAGCTGCTTCGAAGGTTCTGAGTGGGGGTGGCATCGAAGTCGGTATGGTGCCACTGTGGCGTCGAAGTACACTGGTCGAGCTTGTGCAGGCACTGGACGAAGTGACATCTGCATGTCCTGCCTGAAGTGAGCTGGAGGACTCGGTTGCGGAGATCCTGCAAGCTGGGCGCTGAGAATTTCTGGATTCGGGAGGCCCAGGCATGCGAGGGCTATGCCCCACAGGTCACGGAAGCTGTGGAGCCAAATCGGCCACTGATGGACTTGGGCTTCGACTCTGCCGGGGCTTTGAAGCTGCGGAGCATTCTAAGCAGGCCGGGGACTCGGCAACTTAAAGGGACCCAAATGGACAGAGACGGGCCCCGCCCAAGCCGACAGGCGCTTGAATTTGGAGCTTCCCCCGACGATGCTTTTCGATCACCCGACAGTCAATGCACCAACCTTAAACTGCTTGGGAAACACGTTTGTTGTGCCGTGTCGCTATCGGTTGCGGGACAGCATGCTGCCTTGCAGGACATGGTCGACAATGCTCTGGTGTTGCTGTCAGCTCGATCGATGACACCCGCTGCCAAAAAAGAAATTCCAAAGCTGGCTTCTTCGCCGGCCGCCTGTTGGCAGACTCTCTCTCTCTCTGCAATGCTGTGACGAAGCTTTGCCAGAGCTGCTTTAGGCCTGAACAGTTTATCCATGTCGGAAAGGTGATCGTTTCCATGTCGTGTCACCTACCTGGCAGTGTCAAGAGCTGCTTGATTTAATTGGCGGCTTGGCGCCGTTCACCAGCCGGGACTGCTGCGCTGCAGTGTCAAGGCCTGGACAGCTACTGGAGCATCCTGGCAGGCTCTGACTCTACACTGTCGGCATGCACCAGTTGCCGTGACATGATCCGTGTGCATTGCTATGGGTCGGTTTGGGAGGTGTTTGATTCACCAGCCTATGCAGCAAAGAGTTTGTGCTGCGAGCAAAACCGGTTCCCTCGTTGACTTGGTTGGTTTCTTTGGCGCAAAGAGACATGCGCAGAGGACAGGACGCCTCAGCGAAAAGCTGGGTAAGCTAAGCATTGAACGGTACAGCTGATGCGACCACTACCTTAATTCCTCTGTATGACCGCAGTCCCCATGGGAAAGATCGGGAGAGTGGGTTCCATGTCGTGCTTTCAGGCCGTGCGGATGCTGTCGTGGAAGTTCCACTTGCTCGTGCTGCCCTTGGTCTTCTCTATCCTTTGCAAGCTGTCAAGAGCTCTGTTTTCTTTGTGTGCCCAGGCTGGGATCACGATCTATACTTTTCCTTGCAGCCGAAGGAAGGAAAGACCTACGTGCGTCATGCCGGCTTCCTTCAGGCCTTCGTGTGATTGAGCATGGTGCATTGGTGACAATTAGTTTCACATCCTTCATGATGTTGAAGGGTGCCGATCTCTTTGACCCCGGCTACTTTGGATTCGGCACCGCAGAGGCGGGAATGTCCGCTTGCTCTTTCTCTTCATTACATCGTCTCAGTGGCCGAGGTCGAAACAACAGACCCGCAGCAGAGACTGATGCTTACAGCAGCATATGAGGCAACTCGCGGTGATGGTGCCTTGTCTTTACATGCCCCCATCGGGCAGTACCAGCACACGTCACGCATTTGGACACTAACATAATGGCAGCCCAGGCTACGACAAGTCGCTTCTGCAAAGTGCTCCCTTCGTGCTCGAGCTGCATGGAACTGAGCATGGATGGTATGATTAGTGCTTGGGCCAAGGGCGTCTTTGCTGCGCTGACCAACCTGGACTGGTACCAACTCGTCGTCCCGACAGCCGGAGCACACACTGGCCCTGGCGTGTCGGGAGCCATTGGTGCGAACCGCATCAGCAGCCTGCCTTCAGCAGTGGGTCTAAACTCCAAAGTGGCTCCGCACTTGGCTCAGCATCGATTGCTCAGGCTACATATTTGGTCTCAAAGGTCCCAGCATGACGGCAGCGGCCCTAGATCCCTGACATGTCAGCCAAGAACGGAGCATTGCATCGGTTTGACACTTTGCTACATCTTCAGATCGACACTGCTTGCTCGTCTTCCATTTCGGCACTCCATGCAGCAGTTCGCTCGTTGGAGGCCCAAGACTATAGGTTCAAATGCAAAGTGGGGAATGGGAGAACCTTCAGGGCTTTGGGGAACGTGTTGCTGCCAGGGGGAGGTGCCCGCATCTCTCGTTGCGGCTGCCGAGGCAAGCTCGCTTTTCTATCTCTCTGTGTTCTGCTGGCTTTTCTCTGTTGAGGTCTTGCATGGACCCACCAGCTTTATGTTGCGCTCGGTAGCGGGAATGCTTTCACCAGATGGTCGCTGCAAGACTTTTGATGCGACAGCAGACGGTCCCCCGTCCGTGACCAATATGTGATTTTCAAGCATCAGAGTTTTGGTTGGAGTTGGGCATCTGTTGGTGCCAAAACTGAAGCCGAGGCTACGTTCGTGGTGAGGGTGCCGGTGCCCTGCTGCTGAAAGGGCGCGACGAGGTCTCTGTTGGGCGCTGCCGAGAAGTAGCGCAGGCTCAACTTGCAATCTGTGTTGAATTATTGCGGGGATGCGCGGCCCGGCCATGAGCTTGCTTCAGGTTCGTGCGGTGGCCGCTTGGCAGAAGAGCTGGGCGTTTCTGGAATCGGTGAGTTGTTCTGTGATGCAACCTCCAAGGTCATGAACCAAGATGGCAGAAGTGCCACGTTGACGGCCCCAAATGGCCCCTGTCCTGAATACCCGGTGAGGTGAACCTCAGACACCGTGCTCCCAGCCAAACGTCCAAGGTCTTAGCCAGGAGGAGCTGCTGAACAGCGCCTTGCAGCAGGCAGATCTAGAACCGGCGGAGATAGGGGCTATAGAATGTCCGGCGCTCAGAAGGAACGTGGAGTGGTACTCCGCAGAAGCCACGACTTAGCGAGACTTCTCAGGCCATGGTACCGGGACAGCTCTGGGAGATCCCATCGAGGTGGGAGCCATCAAGGCCGCTATGGAGGTATTCCTGCTGCCCAGTCGCATTTAACCAAAGCGCCTCGAGAGTTTGTGGCTTTCTCCTCGACCTCCGCGTCACTCTCTCCAGGTCTCCAAAGTCTCCAAGCAGAGACTTGCCGTCCTTGCAGCTGGCAGCAGCTCTGCCGAAGTGCTACTGTACAACCTGCCCCGCAGCACCCGCAGCTCGGATCTACCTCAGAGTCTTTGGTGGTGAGGCTGGCAAGTCAAACCACGGCCACCTGGAAGGGGCTGCTGGTTTCGCTGGCATGCTGAAGGCACGGTTCCGGGTTGAAAGGTACGGTCAAGGTTGAGTACCCCAGCTAGGCCTGCCAGAATAAACTGTGCACCTTTTCGTTTCAGATTTTTTTTGAGTTCCATCCCTGGTTTGGGTATCATACCGAGTAGCCGTTTTGTCTTCGTGCGTCCGCGAGGTTTGTTTAAGAGCTGGTTTCCGGTTCAGGCCGGCTCGGTTCGTGCGCGACTGCCCAACTCGACTTTGCTGATGGACTCAGGTTGCTGCCTGCCTCCAGCACAAAGCGGTCCCCCCGAACCTCCACTTTCAGGTGAATCCCATGTGTGCTTCTCCACTCGTTGGTTTGTTGGCACAGCCAAAACCAGCCCGCTGCGCAGGAACTGAATCCCCATATCTCCCTGGGAGACCGCCTGAACGTGCCCGCTTCCATTGCAGAGCTGCACGTTGCTGATCAGGTGCGAAGCATGTGCCCGAGGTGTCACAAGTGTTGCAGGAGCGGCTGAGTGGATCTTAGCAGAATTTAGCAGAGCTGCTATACTGTATAACCATTCCAACAGCCTCGCAGAGAGATTGGCCGCACCATAGCATCATCGGCGTAAATACTACGTACCGGGATACCTATCTACAGTATCATTGCCTCAGCGTCAACAGCAATCACAAGCATCGTGGTCCCCGGGACCAGGTTGCTGACACTTTGAAAACTTACACCGTGCAGATCCGCCCATGAACGATGTCAAGCGTCTGCAAGTTGGAAGGAATCAGCTTCCCGGGGTGTGTTGTCAAAGCAACAGTAGCGGCAGTAGCGCTGAAACCCAAGACCCCCTACGTTCTTGGTACGAATCTCCAAAGAGACCCTACAAAGACGGTAGATCCCCGTAAACAACGAACTACAAGCCCCCTAGAGGACCCCAGCAAGATATCCGCAAAGTCTGAACTGCACATCTGCATGTCCTTCTTATGTCATGCCAGGCCATGGGCGTATCGTCCTTCGGTTTTGGCGGGACAAATACCCATGCGCACCTCGATCCTGGCATGATTGTGTCAGCGCTAACAGAGCGACAAGCCATGCGTTTCATGCTGCAGTGTCCTGCCTGAGGCTGCTGATGAGATCGCGGGAGCTTTGCAATCAAGATACTCCGGACTGATCCTGTGTTCTTGTGTCACAGACATGTGCAAATCCAAACTTTTGATTCTGCGTGAAACCTGCAAGCAACCAGGAAAGTTCACCAGTGACTCGCTCAAAGCGCCTGGCATTCCTATTCACAGGACCGTCGCACAGTCAATTTAAGCTCTTCTTTGATTGGTCGCGAGTGGAGGACAGGGTTCACAGCTGCCGGACATGGGGAAGACCCTCTACCGAGCGGATGCCTCTTGGAGCAGTTGGACGGCGGGTTTTGGTGTGTGCGAAAGGGGGTTCGCATGTCTTGTCCACTTCATGCAGGCCTTCAGCGGTTCATGCGCCTATGCGTGTGATGAAGGTGTTGCGTAACGAAAATGCACTGATACCATGAGGGCAAGCCGCCTTTTTGCCTGTCCAATGTCAGCCCTCCACTAGATTTACTTTGCCGTGTCTTGGGAATGAAAGTCTCCTATCGTGAAAAGTCGGAAAGGATCTATCCTGTGCGTGATTGGAGGATGCCTTTGGATGGCTTAGCATCCTTCATTGGATGAATTCGTTCAGAGATTGTGTCCCGTGCATTCCTTCAATAGCTCTTTCTCTCGCATGCCTGTGAATCTGGTTTGCACCATGCCAGTCGTGATGTAACACACGCATGCAGTTTATGACATGGGCGAGCTGAGCGAAGCACTGATCCGCTACGGACGCAACCGCGTAAAAAAAGCCTCCGCACATCCTTCGCGCATCCTTCGCGCATCCGTCGCGCATCCTTCTGACTTGCGGAGCGACTCCGGGACCGTTGTCGGGCGCCGCGCGTGATGGCCGCGGACCACGACCCGAGGTGAAAACTTGCAGTCGATGCAACGGTTGATTTTAGTTGAACTGTTTAGCGTTGATTTAGCTTCCTGTCGGTCCGTGTTGTGTCTTGTTCTCTGCAGAATAGCCGCAAACAAAAGTTTGGGGTTTCATGCTCATGATCATGGATTTGTTTAGTGTCTTGTTTCCCGCCAAGAAGCATTGCAGCCATGCTGACCAAACTGCCACATCCTGCGATGTCGAGCCTCCACGATAGCGTAGTCTGGCTCACTACAGCACCCGAGCTTCGTACGAAGCTATGAAGAGCTCTTCTGATTCTTCTGTGGGCATTTGATTGGCGCTCGGAAGTATTGCCGTTGCCCCGTTTGCTTTGCGGCCGCGAATCAAGGGCGTTGATCTTGTAACAGGCTTGAGCAGCGGTTCGTGACATGAGCTTTCATCAAAGACCCTCTGCCGGCACTTTGCCAGAGTTTTCTGTGGGCCCGGCTCTCCGGGTCGACATCGGGCCGTTTCCGGGGGGCACATGCACATGGCAGACTCGTGCATGCAACTCCGTTAGCGTTGCGCTTTTCACCTTCTACTTCACGTGACCGCATGGCTTTTGAAGCACTCATCATTGCTGGAAAAGAGAAGCAACTATTGTCACTCGGGTTGTTTAACGCAGTTCGCGACTTGCTTGAAAGCAGCCCGGTGTGCGGAGTACTGAGCAGCGGCAGCCTGCAGACTTGCTTTGGGGCTGTTGCTGAAGCCTTGCTGCTCTGACCGGCCAGTGTGCGGGAGTGGTGAGGGACGTTGTCTGAAGGGGAATCGCGTCGAAACTCGGGACGTGCACATCTAGAATTTCTCAAACTTTGTGTCCATTCTGTCCAGTTCCGTCCTCTGTCGCTCATTCACCAAGTTTCTGGAGCGCGGGGTCGGTTGCCTTGACCAGGAGCATATTATGCAGAATATGGAGACTCCCATGAAATTATGCTTCACGTGCTCGCAGCATGCGCATTTTGTGAGCTCGAAAGCTTTTTCGTAAGCTTGTAGCGTTTTGGCATTTGGCATGGCGGTCAGGGCTTTCGCATTTGCAGTTACCTCGAGCAAGCCTGCACCAAAGCTGGCAGTCTTAAACGGGACCCAGGCTCGGGGAAGTGATTGATCCAACAGAAAACATGCGCGAACTCTGTCGCTAACCTCTGAGGACCTCAGTTCAGGTGAGAAGTGCGATCACAGGCTGCTCCCTGCAGCAGAGTTCTTTTCTTGTCTGGCTCGTCGTCTACTCATGTCTGCGCTCGATTTGGCGAAACACAGGACGTAAGAAAAACACAGTAGGCCCCAGCCATTCAAGGCCGAGCCCGGTGCAATTGGCACTCAGCGGTCTGTTGTGTTTCATGACTTGCCAGGGGCGTTCTTGCTTGATGTGTGTTGACATTCCGGCTAATGCCAATGCATCCTCTGAGGACACTTTCCGTGAGTCGCTTGACCTTTGCGCAAAGATGGTCGAGAACGAGTCGTTGTTGGACACAGATGCTCAGCTTGCAATCTGTGGAAGTAACCGCATGCATTCTAAATGTCCCAACTTCCAAGGACCTTCGAGAATTGCTCTTTGGAGAGGCGCATCAGTGCTTCCCTCAAGCGCGCAGTGCCCACACGCCCGTGTGCAGCCGCCTTCAAAGCGATTTGCATCGATTAGCTCAGCTCAGGTCGACCTCGCTCTCCCAAGTGGCGATCTTTGCCCTGGAGTATGCACTGAGCCAGATGTGGAAAGCAAGGGGAGTGGAGCCCTTCGCGGTTCTGGGACACAGTGCCGCCAGGCAGAACCGGCGCATCCGGTTGACTCGTCACTTGTAAATGTACTTTCCATTTAAGGTTGGTGAGTACACAGCTGCGGTGGTTGCTGGAACCATGTCCCTCATGGACGGCCTGCGCATTGTCGTGCGACGTGCGCAGCTCATTGACGAGAGGTGTGATGAAGGAGCCTCCCAGGAGGGAGTTCTAACATGTGACCTACTGGCGCTGGCAGCTGGCAGGACTAGGAATGATGGCCTCGATCTTCGCGCCGCAGGCAGATGTGGAGGAGGCTCGTCTCCTTGCTCCTGGTCTGTGCTGTTGTGGCAGCTCATCCACAAGAGGCTCTCTACAAGGTGCAGCAGAGCCTTCCAAAGGACCAGACTGTCGTTATGGCAGTACACGGCTTGGCTTTTGCTTCGATGTCTTGGGCATGTTAGAAGCAATTGCGCCCAAGGCGGTGAACGGCCCTTCGCAAGTGGTGGTCTCTGGTCACAAGACTGCGGTGGAGCAGCTTGTCAGCACAACTTCGGAGTCCTTTCTTGCAGATGCATGGCCAAGAGCTTAGCTGAGGCTTGTATGCCAAGACTTCCAGACAAATCACAAGACGTTTCTTGGCAGATCCTGCTCCGTTGCACCAATCGTTGCCGCAGCTTCGTCGACGCTCAACCGAGGCTCAACATTCCGCATGCGATGCACTCTGAGTTGATGGCTCCAATCTTGCCAGAGTTGCGCACAGCACTGCGATGCTGCAAGCTGCCTGGCCTCATCAGATGGCAGTAGCAGTCCTCGTCGTTGGCACTATGAAGATTCAATGGTGAGGTTGCAGCTACCACGGAAGGAGGTTCACTTCGTCTCCGTTCTAACTGGCGGCAAGGTGTCTGAGGAGATCTGCTATCCTGACTACTGGGCAGGCCTTGGAAAGTGCTGTCAGAGTGGCGAGTGTGAAGAGGCTTGGTTTGCACCGATGCAAGGCCACGACGAGTCAAAGCCAATGCTATTCATGCAGGGCCTGGGCCTTTGCGCGAAGAAAAACTTGTGTGCTTGGTTCTTCGGACAGTAAGCTTTGGGAATTTCTAGGGTGGCAGAGAGCCAGCAGTTGAACACTACAGCCACCAAGAAGAAAACCTACCATGTTGTAGGGATTGAATCGGATCCCAGCATCTTGCGGCGGGAATCAGGCGTGCAAGAACTTCGACGACTTGGCTGCGAGGTGGATGGTGAGGTTTGCAGTCTCCTGCCGCCAATTTCAGTAATTTCCAGGCCTACTTGGAGATCGGACCGCAGCCCGTTCTTGTCAAGAGACTCGGTCTGCACACAAACTTCAGTTTACTTAGCCAGCTCTGCACAGATGCCGCGATGCGCATCCTTTCTCCGTGTGACAAGCCGAGGATGGGCCGGCGCTGCCTGCTTGAGGCCTGGTCAGATGACAACCGCGAGACTGCAAACGGTCGCATGAGTGTCCAAGTCTCTTTGAATTCTGATAGCAAGCCGGCAAATTCCTGCATTCTTTGTTTGGGGCATGTCAATGTGGCGCCTGCAGAAACAGGAGCAAGAACAGCCGTCAAATCTGGAGTGGCTGACAAGCCTCCAGCCCGGAAGCTGCTTGGCAAATTGGGACTCTGCCGCACTTCACGAGACTCTTTCCATTTCTGAGGAGACGAGGTGGAGAGCATCCTTATTTGCTCTCGTGCTCTTGGTGTGGCCTTTGACAGGACGTCAGAGCTCAAACCACGGCCTGTGCCGTGGGGACTTACGACTGATGAAGACGCCTGGTACCGTTGCGTCAATTGCCCGAAGCAACTCTCAGAGCAAAGCGGGGCTTCGGGCCCAGGTGGCCCGGGAGCATGCCTCGTGCTTGGGGGCCCTAGGACTCTTGCAGAGGAGCTGCAGAAGAGCCTGCTTGGCGCCGAGTGGGCTCCGGTGTATGGGGCGGCTGTGGAAGCCGCTCTGAAGCGCACAACCAAAGACGACGTCGTGGTCTTTGCCGAGCCCCTCCTGACTTGTGTTGAAGACTGCACAGCGCAGGGTCCCACAATGGCCGCTTTGTTGAGGTCGATTCAGGTTCTGGCAGTGGCGCAGGAGCATCCACGTGTCGTGGTGCTTACTGCAGGCGCCCAGGAAGCTGATGTTAATCGTGAAATGGGACGTGGCTTGATGGGGGCAGCCGCTTGGGGCTTCATGCGGTCTATTCCTCTGGAAGCACCCCAGCTTCGCACACGGGTCATTGACTTGCCGGGGCCTTTAGTCTCTTGAATCGCATGGACATTGCAATCTGGTTTTCAGTTTGCAGCATGTCACGAGTCCTCGAGGCCAGCTTCCTACGAAGATGACATTGAGTTTTGGGCGCAGAGCCTCTGCAAAGAGCTCTCAAGCGAGGCGATCTTCACAGACCCACAGCAGACCGTTCACAACACATGCTACTAAGTCTTGAGGGCATTCCGCAAGGCCAGTTATGTCCGATTTGCATCCGAAGTTTTGCCAGGAGACGGAGCGGGAAATTGTGTACACGCGTGATCGCCTCACCAGAAGTGTGCCACGCCTCGAGAGGCACCACTTGAAGCCGGAAGTGCTCCGGGTGCAATATTTCAAGCAGTTAACCACATCCGAATTGCCTCGTGCCATCGTGTGCGCTTGCCCAAGGCAAACACACGCACCATGATTGATACCACAAAGATCCAGTTGGTCACTGGTGGCCTTGGTGGTCTTGGCTTGCAGGCCGCCGCTGCCCTTGTCGCAACTTGTCATGCAACCCTGCAAGACCTAAGACCCGCGTGCTGAGAAGGAGGCTGCGCAAGCTTTCACGTAGGTGCAAAATGTGATGTCAGCAACCTGCAGAGAAGCATGCCAAGCAGCCAGAGCATCACAGGCTCCTTGCCTTCAACATGTCGAGCACAGCATCTGAGGACTCCGGGGCACAAAGTCTTTTGCTGGTTTCTCGGCGGGGCCATGTGGCACAAGGAGACGAGATGTCGAAGGGAAGCCTGGAAGCTTTGCAATCACTTGACATCACCGTTCGCACCTGTGCATGTCCCTGAACTGCAAGCAGACTCCGAGCCTGTCGAGGGGCGGGTTTTGCATCTGAGATCATCTTAGTCCTGCGACTGGCCAACAGTTGTCTGTCAGGCGGACATAAATTGCCTGATTCTAAAGAGCTCGACTTACTTCAATTCGTTCAAGAGCGCAGTCATGAAGGTTCCTACTGAGGGCTGCAGTGGTTCAGCTAGTTGCATTTTCGGTGTGCTCTGATACTCTGAAGCTGTGTCACGCGCGTGAAGTCTTCTGCAATCCCCTCAGAGCGAGAGACCTCAGCTGATTCTGTTTCGGTTGTAATACCCATGCTGGAGAACCGGCATCAAGTTCAGCCATACTCGTAGGATGCACTCCCCTGATGTCAGCTGACAGAAGGCATAAATCGACATAAAGTTGAGTGCGGCATGCCTAGACCATCAGGACGCGAGCATCATAAGCCCCATAGAAGGCCGAATTGCCCCCTGTGGCTCAGGTGATGTTGCTCAGACAGACGCTGTGGCTGATTTGCTTCTCCGCAATTGTGTGGGCGGAATCGTGTGCCTTTGGCCTGCGAGCTGTGCTGAGTCCTGCCCCTCTGTCGCACCCAGATTCTTGGGCTCCAGGCATGCTGCGGGTGTCATCGATTTCGTGGAGCTGAAGGCTGCTGGGCGTGGTCCCGTTTATTCTTCGATTTCAAGATGTCTCAAGCCTTGAGGGTGACGGTGTAGCCCAAGCCAGCTTTGTTCGAAAACACTTCGCAGGACCAATCGATGGAAAGAATGCGCAAGGTTTTCGCACCGAAGGTCTCTGGTGCTTGGAACCTGCACGAGGCAACCAAGGACCATGATGCAAATTGCGTATGGAGGTTGTGTAGTAGTGTAGGGGAAATCAGAACTCGGGGGCCGGGGGATCCCAGGACCAAGAGTCGGGCTCCGTCGGCTTCTTCGTCGGCTTCTCGTCAGTCTCAGCTCTTGTTGGCCTCTCTCGCGGCACGAGTTACTCCGCCTCCAACGCCTACCTGGACGGGCTTGGACTCTGGAGACAGGCTGCTAACTTGCCCTTCGTCAGCTTGAACTTGGGCCCAGTGGCGGAGGTCGGCATGGCAACCAAGGACAGGGGACATCTAAAACTAGACTCACTAGACTCGGCTTGCCCTTGGCCTAGGCAATGCAAAGGGCATCAACATAGAGAAAGCTGACAGCAGGAAGCAACTGAAAGAGTGCAATAGAGCGAGGCTTCAGGGTTTATTGCTTGGGCGCTTTCCGGCTACGGGAAAAAACCAATCGGACGGGGCAAGGGTTGGCAAACTCCGTGTCCAGGACAAGTTTGGCCAGGCGGACTCCGCATTGCGGCTGACCCCTCCGAAGCACTTCCAAGCCGCAATCCGCCGAGTGCTGGAGTGCGCCGGGACATGCCTGCCTTCATCCGTATGCTTTGCACAGGCCCAATTCTTAGAAGCCAGGTAAGCCAGCTTCAGTTGCGTGGTTCCTTAGCTGCGATAGAAACTCCACCGTGGCAGCACAGGTCGACTGGACCCGATTCCTACGTGAGCTTGGGGCTGACATTGCTATCCTTGATAAATTCAGTGAGGTGGATGTTACTAGCAGAAGTGCAGCTTCGCCCTTCCAGAGTTTGGCGGGCGATGAGCTGGAACAGCAATTGGGTGAAGTGGTGCAGGAGATTGCGCAACGCTTCCTCTCGGAGGACCATTCTGCAGACTCGCCCCTCATGGAATCAGGCTTGGATTCGCTGTCTGCCATTGACTTCCGAAATTCTGTGGCCAAAGAGTTGGGTGTCAAGCTGCCCAGCACCCTCATGTTCGACCATCCCACCACGAAAGCTGTGGCAGCCTTCGCCGCCAGTCTGATTAGCTCGAAGCCGGCTGGGACCCCGGCTGTTCCAGCTGCCCAAAGCTCTATCGCGGGCACTCCATGTTTTGGAGACAAGGATCCTTTGGCTGTCGGGTCAGGGGCTTGCCGCTTCCCACTGGAAGGGACAACACCCCGGCAGATGTGGGATGCTCTGGCAGAAAAGATCGATGCAGTAACTGAGATCCCCGCAGACAGGTGGGATGTGGACGAGTACTTCGACTCGGATCCGGAAGTGCCAGGCATGATGACAGTCCGGCATGGGGCATTTGTGAAAGGGGCCGATCTCTTCGATGCTGCCTTCTTTGGCCTAAGCCCTGTGGAGTCTAAGATAATGGATCCTCAACAGCGTCTCCTGCTGGAGGTCGTCTACCAGTCTTTCCATGTAGCAGGCATGCCAATGACTGCGCTCACGGGCATGTCAGCATGTATCACCGTAGGCCAATGCCACCAGGATTGGGGTCATGTTGGTTTCGGCACCGATTCTTCTTCTCTGAAGAAGATTGGAGCTTACACTGGCTTGGGAGTCTCCACGGCAGTCTCTTCCAATCGCGTGTCCTACCTTTTGGGCCTCAAGGGTCCGAGTGTCACCGTGGACACGGCGTGCTCTTCCTCTCTCGTTGCGGTGGATATAGCAGTGTCAGCCCTTCGCCGCGGCAGATCGACAGTTGCAGCCTCGTCCGGAGTAAATCTCTGCCTGCTGCCAGCCCCTTTCGTGGCATGCAGCAAGGCCCACATGCTTTCGCAGGATGGCCGCTGCAAGACTTTTGATGCCTCTGCCAACGGCTATGCCCGAGGAGAGGGCTGTGGCTCGGTGACACTCTCCCTCTCTGAGACTAGAGCCACGGTGGTGCTGAGAGGCTCTGCTGTGAACCAGGATGGTCGCAGCTCCTCCCAAACAGCACCACACGGACCGTCCCAGGAGGCAGTCATGAGGACGGCTCTGTCTGAGGCAGAGCTGGAGCCCAGCTCTGTTTCGGCCGTCGAGACGCATGGGACCGGGACAGCCTTGGGAGATCCTATCGAGGTGGGAGCCTTTCGAAATACCCTTCGTGAAGGCCGTGCACATGATGTTGAGCTGACCCTTTGCGCAGTGAAGACGAATATTGGCCCCTCGTTGTAGATGCTGTGTAGATGTAGGGCTCGCACTGTGCCTGTACCTGTTCTTTCTTCCGCATGTTCTCGCGATGCTGAGGCCACTTGGAGGCAGCTGCGGGACTGGCAGGATTGATGAAGATCATATCTGCGCTGCCCCTTCGGATGGCGGCGCCGAATCTTCACTTCCAGAGCCTGAATCCTCACTGCGACCTGGAGGATTTCCCAACCGTTATTCCAGTGGAGCTTTCTGAATTGGCCACTGTGGCAAGCCATGTGTCCTCCGGCCTCTCTTCCTTTGGCTTCGGCGGCACGAATGCACATGTGGTGCTGGAAGACAGTGCAGAAAGACCTTCTGTGCTGGTGGAAGCTCCTATTTTTAAGCGCCAGTCCTTCGCATGGCAGGCTCAGCGCCATGCGCTGCTCACAAAGACGATGCGCACAGCTGAGGGATCCCAGGTCTTCTTACGACCCTTTTCGGGCAAACTGCTGGAGCTTGTTAGCCGGGGCCTTAGACACGCTAGGACCGCATTCACGTTCATTCCTGTGAGCAACAAACTATATTATGTGGTGCAGCCGTGCAATGGGCAGTGCCCTGCCGCAGCCTGCACAAGGCCACCACATCATTTTTGGAGAGATTGTCGTGCCGGGCGCAACCTACATCGAAATGGCGCTCGGCGTCGGGGTAGTTCACTTCGGCGGTCGGGACAAGCAGTGGAACATCCGCAAGGCAAGCTTGGGCTGTGTTTTAGCCCGCACCAACGTACATTCTGGAAGCCTCGCAGGTTGGTTTCACATCACCGCTCGTCCTGAAGCAGTTGGACACAGGCGAGCTGACCCGAGACGTGAGCTTGCAGCTTGGCTTAATCGCCCTTGACGCTTACGACGGGTCGATTTGTGTGCTGTGTTTTGGTTGCCGGCAGAGTGGCCAAATGCCACTGTGGGTATGCTCTGCCGGTCCAATTGTAGGCTCGGTGACGAAAGGTTGTGTCTATGTTGCGCCTTGCGCCTATCGAGACTACCGAAAAGTGCAGGCGTGTGAAGTTGTCTGCTTCAAGAACGCCCTGCAATCCTGACAGCTCATCCGTTTCAAAACGGTCGCTGGTTCGTTCTTCCTGTCCAACGTTGTAATTTTAACGCTACGCCGCCCG